AAGAGGCTTGATCACTGCACTGTACACCTGAAGCTGATGTTGTATAATATTGTATGTCAGCTATAAGTGAATATATATATATATATATATATATAGTCATGGGACGTGGAGTATAGTGTGGGAGTGGAGTCAAGGGATTTGTAAGAGATATGTATGATATTGGGGGGAAGTGGGGCGGCGGATTGGGGGAGGGGGGTTGTCACTTTGAGGGGTAAAAAGTATAATTATTTCACTGTGTTGTACAGCTGAAACTAATTCTAAAAAATGTGTATTTCATAATACAAAATAATTTTTAAAAAAGAAAAAAAGAAATAGGGGTCCCAAGGGCAGGGCTGTGGCAACGGATGGAAAAGAATGGGACATGGGAAGGGGTCTGGACACCATTTACTGTAAGGTCTCTTCTGGCTGGGAGATACTTTTATTTCTCTGGGTTGGACTTCACGCCGCTGCCTCTGGGAATGCTGTGTGTGTGCCTGGGTGTGAGTGTGCACACATGTGCTGCTTGTGTGACCCTCATCATCCATTCAAGAGCCCACCAAGTAGTGCCTGGTGGGCTCTGAGGCTGACCAGTCTGGTTTCCCCTCCTTGGTGCCTGCCAACCACTAAGTGCAGCTTCCCAGTGTGGCCAGGATGCTGGGCAGTGGCTGGACCCAGAAGGGTCTCCCTGTGTCCTGCCTGAGAACCCGACTCGCGTCTCTGGCTGAGGGGTGGTACTGGTCAGATCACATGTGGAGACCCTGCTCCCTTTCGGGTAGGGCAGAGACAGGGGAGGAGGGAGCGGCCCAGACAGGTCAGACTCTGAGAACCTGGTTGTAGAAGAATCTGGAGCTGTCTGCCTGGAGAAGAGACCTGGCCTGCCAGGAAATCTCTGAAGGGTGAGGGATTAGATTGTGTGTAGAATGTTGATCCCAAGACTCAGAGATTGCCCAAGATGGAAAAGAGCCCAGAATGGTGGCGGCAAGCTCCCTGTGATTGGAGGTATGCTAGCAAAAGGTAGGCAACCACTCAGCTAGCTCTAACAGGGCAGAGGATTAGAGAGGCGGCCTAAAGAGGTCTGCATTCCAAAGAGTCTGTAAATTGGGGACCTAGGAAGGTGACTTGATACCTGCCGGGCTCTCGTCAAAGCAGCACTCGTTTACCTTTCAGTCTCAGTTGGATTCCTAATGATGGGAGCCTAGCAGTGCCAGCTGCAGGGGCTCAGGCTTGCCTCGGAGGCTCAGAGGAGTTGGCAAGAGCTGAGTGGGGATGGAAAGGCAGGTGCTTTGTGAGGTCAGCTCCCTTGCACACCGCAAACTCAGCCAGTTTCTGGAAACAGCATTTGGAAAACTTATCTTCTGGTCTCATTTCTAAATATGGGAATTATACATAGCTGGCTATCTTGGCTGTTCAAAGTGCTTTGGAAAGGAAACATGTTATAGAAGAACTCCTGGTGTAGCTTCCATTATTGTCTCCAAATTTCAACCCTCAAAATATTCACCTTTTCCGCACCTTTCTGTTTACTTCCCTTCTTTCTAAGAAGCTCAAATACAGAAGGGTCCTCCGCTATGTTTTCGACAGAGCTGATACGAGCATTTGGAGTGGGGCATTTCTTCCTCGTGTGACTGTCCTGGGCAAGGCAGGGCATCTAGCATCCCTGGGCATTCCCTCCTCGTACTAAATTCCAGCAACAACTTCCAGTCATGGGGGCACTTTCAAACATCTCTTAGGGGTGACACTGTCCTCCCACTTTGAAAACCATTGCCTGAATCCCCTAAAAGAAGTGAGTTGCTCAAGGCTGCACCACTTAGCCAGTGGCAAAGCTGGGGCCAAGCCAAGTCAAATCCCATTCATTCATTCCAAAAACATTTATTCACCTCCACCAGGGTGTGTGTCAGGAGAGCAGGGGGAATGCAGGCCTGAACTGAGGCAGTGAACAGAGGACTCTCTGATGACAGAACTACAATTTCTCACGATTTCACTGCTTTTGCCAAACTCTTGTTTTCCTCCTCCAGCCCACCTAGCTCGCTGTCTCCGCAATTGCAGGCACAGGCTTTCTGACAATTAGTGGAAAGAGCCTGGTCGAGCACCATCCCCAGGAGCCGAGTCAGGTCCCTTTTGGGTGGGGCAGCGGGATCCCCATGCTGAAACCCCAGGGTCTCGGCCAGCCGAGCAGCTGCCTTCCACCGGCATCGAGGAGCGAGCTGCGGCAAGACACCTGCAGCGAAGCCGCGGCGGAACTGGGCAAAGGTGGAGGGCCGTCGACCTTTGCCAGTCGGCCCCGGGAGGCTTCTGAGGGCTGGGGGTGCTGCCTGGGGGCCAGAGGCCGGGGACGGGGGTACCCAGGCCGCGGCGCGGCGGGAGCAGAGGGCAGCGCAGCCGGGCTCGACCTCTCCTTCCCGTGCCAGAGGCCAAGGCTGCGGGCAATGGCGGGGCCACCTCTCCAAAGTCCCTTGAGATCCCAGCTTAGAGGGGACGCGGGGGGTTGAGTGGGAAAGCTAGAATATTATGCCTCTGTTTTGCCTAGGCAGCCAGCGCCGGCGGGTTGTTCTATTTGAACGAATGATTCCAGAGGCCGCGCCCAATGAGTGCCTGCGCCTCTTTAATATGCATGAGCCCTGCAGCCAATGGGCGGGCGAGGAGGCTGTTTTAAACGGCGGAGCCCGCTGGCCAATCAGGCGGCTCTCGTGGAGGCAGCTAGCGCGAGGCTGGGGAGTGCTGAGCAGCGCGTCGTGCCCTGCGCTGCCCAGACTAGCGAACAATACAGGTACGTTTCCGCCGCCTGCGCCCGCCGCCGCCGCCGCCGCCGCCGCAGCGCCTGCACAACTTTACAGCCCGCGCCACCGCCAGCGCGCCCCGCCGTCTCGGTGTCCTGCCTCTGCTCCCCGCGCCCTTCCCACCCCCTCCGCCTTCTCTCTACCTAGGTGGCCGGGAAGGAAGAAGCAATTCAGGTGTTTCAACTTTTCAATGCTTTATCCCGAGCTCCCCGCTGTCGGGGCTGGGCTCCCTCCGCGGAACCGCCCTCGGCCGCCGCCCCCCGGGGCTGTGCCGCGGGGTTCAGGCCCCCCCTGGGTCCAGATGTTTGGGCAGCTGCGGCGGCTCGAGCCGAGGGGCGTCTGCGGGCTCGGGCGGCGTGTGTCCAGGCGCTGGGCGGCGGCGCTGGGAAAGGGGCAGGGAGCTCCCCGGCCCGGGACGGACGCCGCGGGGGGGCGGGCAGCCGGTGCCCGCCGGGGGTTGCGGCGCGGGCAAACTTCGCAGCCGGGCTTGGCCGGGCGCTGTGCGGGCCCGCGGGCTGCACTGCTGCTTCTGCATTAACATGGCCGTCTCGGGAGCGCACGGCGATCCGGGGGGGGTGGGCG